GGTAGTCATAAAGAATTCAGTAGATCTACACACACTGAAAAGAATAAGGCCAAGACTAAACATTAAAAAGCAGGTTATAAAGTATGTAGGATATAGTCCCATGCAGAAAACAGAACAAAAAACATTCCTTACAAGACTGAAGGGTCAAAACAACCAGAATACCAAATTAGCTACAGTGGATACTTCTAGATAGAGTGGGTTTGGAGACTCAACTCAGCTTTTATTTCTATTGCATTGTTTGGCCTTTTTTCCAGCCGGGAATATATTTGGGTATTTCCTGTGTATTAATAATAAAAAAAACTTTGTAAAGCTTTAAAAATAAGCAAAGGTCCCTGAGTGAGGTGCAGAAGAAGGCTAATGCAGACTGACCCAACCTGCCTGGCTGCAGATTACGAGCTCCCAGGTCAGCCTGAGTGAGTTTCTATTCACCCAATTCTGCAACCCCAAGGTAGTCAGTTCAAGTTTAGCTTGAATCAAATCCTTCAGCCCTTTAAGAATCCCCTTAGCTAGGTGTGGTGGTGCACACATGTAATCCCAACACTCTGGGAAGCTAAGGAGGGAGATCACAAATTCGAGCCCAGTCTGGGCAATTTAGTGACTTAGCAAGTCCTTATCTCAAAATAAAAAGGGCTGGAGATGTAATTCAATGTAAAGACCTTAGGTTCAATCCCTAGTACCACTGGGCGTGGTGGCACCTAGCTGTAATCCCAGCACTCAAGAGGCTGAGGCAGGAGGACTGCCATGAGTTTGAGGCCAGCCTGGGCTACATAGTGAGTTCAGGACCATCAAGACCCTGACTTAAAAAAAAAAAAAAATCCCTAGTACCACATGCATGTACACACACACACACACACACACACACACAAAATCCCAAGTGCACAGCCCATTATAACCTATAAGAAGTACACATGATGAAACTGGGTCTCAAGATAAACTGTTGAGTGAAAAAAGCTAGGCACAGGGCATTGTGAGTAGAATTCCACTACTTGGGAGGAAATAAAAGGCCGTTTCTAGGAACTGTTAATGGTGATTGCTTCTGGAGTGAGTAACAGCGTGATGAGAAGCTTTATTATGACTACTTTTGTACCTTTGGAATTTTGAAATGTTTTGTGTGATCTAATTTTATAAGTAACTTTATTGGTTATTTTAAAAATATATAACTTTAAAAAAATTAATTATGTATATTGGTCCACTGAGGAGAAAAATTTCAGAAAGTGCCATTTAAGTTGCAGAGACATAGTTGGGAGAAGCTCCAGGATTTGGAGGCCTGGGGAGCACTGCTAGGATGATAGCGACACCTCAGATTACTGTCTTTGGCAATGACTCAGTGGCTTCTAGTGCACATTGGAACTGCCCTTTGAGTGACCCCTAAATCACCCTTTTGCTGTGATTGAGAGCTGCAGGCATCTTATCTTTTAGCTCCTATCAGGATATTTTAGGATAATAGGACACACATTTATTATCATTTTTCACTGTGTTTGGTTCATGCCGTAAGATTGATGTTTCCAAAATGTAGCTGAGAAAGCTTCCTGTTGTTCCCTGCCCAGAAAACATAATATTATATACCCAACTACTTCAATTCCTTTGTGGGTGAGCCAGGACCTAAATAAATAGACATGAATAAGTAAATATACCCAGCTAGGTAGCAAGTGGAGCCCATCTTAATGTCACATTCCAGTTTAAATATTGCAAACCTTCTTTGGAGAAAGCATATGTGCATGCACATACACACACACACACACACACACACAGATACACAGACACACAGGTGGGCGTACTTTTCACAAGTAAGTTCTTTTTCCACTGCTACTAAGGACAGTGGAAGCTCTTGAAGGTTTTTTTGGGGTATTTTTTAGAACTGGGGCTCAAACTCAGGACTTTGTGCTTGCCAGGCAGGCACAGGCGCTCTTGGAGGGTTTTAAGCCAGGGAGTGACCCGATGAGATTTGTAGTATTGAAAGGTGGGAGGGTCAAAATGTATAATTGATATTGTGAAGGAGGCAGAAAATGTCTAAAGGAATAGGGGAAGTTGCAGGGGAAGGGGAAAGGAAAGAAGGAAAAAGAAAAAATATGAGAAAAGGAAAAACAAGGAGATGAAGTCTTTGTAAATAGGGAGGGGTGGAGGGGCTGAAGGGAGGGCAGGGGAATGGGGAAAAAATAAGAACCAAGATGCATCATGTAAAGGTACAAGATCCCAATGATGAATATAACTGTATTGTATACCTAAAATGTACCAATAAACTAAATGAAAAAAAAAAAGAGGTGGGAGGGAATCTTCTCAAGGCTGAAACATGAGGAGAGAAGAGGCGGGGGCCACTGGCAGAGGTCCAAGCTGGACGTGATGGTGGTGATGGGGAACAGGCTGGGGTCAGTGGATAAAAAAAATTGCTTTGAAATTTGCAAAATGCCTTTCTTGTGGACCCTCTTGTGACCACTCTCTGTCCACGACAGCCCTTTGCGGCCCGATCCCGTGCTCCAGTCCAAACAAAGATGACAGACTGTCCTTAGGAACAGCTAAGGAGACAGGAGGAGAAGTTCGTGCTCAGGTTGCTGCAGTTCCTGCAAGTAGCATATAAAGTGCTGAGAAACTTGAGTCTGTGCTGGAGCCCTGAGCTGCTCAGGATTGTAGACTACTAATGTGTCAAGGACAGAGGAGCTTGTTGTAAATGATATGTGGGTGAAGGCAGAGTGAGGCAGAGTTTCAGACAGAAGGGTAGAATGGTTCCCTTTGGCCTTGCATTTATTTCGACCAAAACTTAGCTCTCTTCTTCGAAATCCCCAGTGTTTAGCCCCATGGCAAGCTCTGTGGAGCTGCAGAACAACAGACCGGTGGCATCCTGGCCCGAGTAAGAGGGAGGACACCTGGCTCCCAGTTCGTGACCTCGTCACCACCAGCCACCATGAGCCTGGGGCTTATCGCTTAGCCTCTTTGGACCTCGGTTCCTACAGAAGTAAAATGGTTATTGTTAACATCTCTCTTGGGGAATTTAATATGAACAAATGATTGCAGTCCATCCTTGCCACGTGCTATCCTTCTGTCACAGGAAAGCAACAATCTCATAAAGCAGTGATTTTTTTTTTTTTTAGTCAGTGCTGTGAGTGTCCTACTGTGAGTGAGGAGGAAGGAAAGTGGGTGAGATCCTAGATGCCTCAATTCCCTGCTTCAGTGAGGACAGCTCAACACTTTAACAGATTGGAAGTCTGGATAAGATTTCATGCGAATGAATGGCTCTACTCTAAAACCATGTTTTTTAGCTTGAAAACCACTGTTACAGAGCATCTTTCCCTGGGCAGCTCAGGTATCTGATCTTAACCCAGAAATGGCACATAGATCAATGGTGGCATCCTGGGCCTGCAGCAGACATCAGCAGTCCATCAGTGGTCCTTTTCTACCTAGCCTTAATAAAGCCTCCGCATCATTAGCAACACAGTAGTTCTAGCAGCTAGTTCCACAGTGGGCCTGTGAGATAAAAACCAATGTTATACTTGTCAGGTAAAAGGGCCGAAGACCAAGACCAGACCAGGCCACAAGCCTTTATTAGGGGAATGGATCTGCCAAGCTGTCTCTGAACAAAGGAGAGACAAAAGCAATATGGCCGGGGCAGGGACAGTCTTTTATAGAGACTGGGGTGGGGTTTGTAGGGGCTGAGGTGGGGTTGAGTGAGGTAGTGACTAGGGAATGGAGGAGCCCGTGATGTCACTAGGTGGTAGGAGGTGAACAAGTGTTAGGTTACTTTCTAGGCAGGAACAGGGGCATGCTGGGAAGGAGGGTTTATTCTTTGGTGGGAACAACCATCTTGGCATGATGTCACACAGGGGAGGGGGCAAGGCACCATAGGAAGAGGGCAGCTACTATACATAATAGCTGCTGAGGTGGTGGGAGACCTATCAATACTCTTTTGACTTTTCACTGTAGGTTGACCTTGAGTGCTCAGTTGAATTGAGGACAACAGTGATTTCTGTAGAAACCTCCACATTTCATATTTCTCCAGACATCTGAGAGTTAGAGGTGTGTGGGATGTGATTAAGATATAACTTGACCTCTAACTGGCAATTTACTAACACCTGACTTGTGGAAACTTGAGTACATATGATTCTTTAAAGATGAAAATATTCTGCTCACCTTTTCTATTTATATTTGTTATCAAAATAACTTCGGAAATTACTTGCCCTGTATTTGGGAAATGAGAATTTCTATCTTCTGGGATCATCCTATCACGAGAGAATTATTTGTTGGTTTGCTATGAAGCAGGATTATCCCGTAATTAAGTAGTTGGCCTTACTGCTAGGAGTGCACTCACTGACAGAGAAATCCACATGCAGAGTATGATCACATTCCTGATTCCCAGACCAAATATTGACATCAGTGAGGTAGCTTTTTGAATTCTGAGATTTGTAACCCATTATCTGGTAGTAATAGGTGCTTAAGCAAACATCACATTCTTGCATTTACTATTCAACAAATAGCTCTTTAATGCCTACCCTCCATCTGAGGTTGCCAAGATTAAATTTAGCTCTAAGAACATTACTGGTGTCCTTTCTCTGAGTCAGCTGGCTAGTGAATGCAGACATGGTACTATTTCCTTGTCTGGCCTACTATTGCCAAACGGCTCAATTAAGGCAATAAAACTGAAGAGGGCTTAATCTTCCTTTATCATTTATAATCAACAGGGATTCAGTTTTATTCTTGCAAATGGCCTGGGGAAAGATTTTATTGGGCCCCTTGCCTATTCAAACTAGTATATAACCATTAACTAGTTAATCCAAATAGGTCCTTAGGGAGGCCTGGCAGAACCATTATCGCTGCAGTGCTGGAAGTCAGGTGCTTTGTTCAAGACCAGGGACTGAAGACTGAACTTGTTTACGAAGAACTGGAGTCCAGCCCATCTATGCTAGGTTTGGTCACCTGCCTCTTTATTTTTCTGACATGAAAGGAGCCCCATGTTGCCACCTTCCAGCCCTGCTCCCGGTAACCTCATTCCCACTATGCTCTCTTCTCAGACACCCAGCCCCACCAGAAGCCCCCTGGTGGAAGTACTGGCCCTGAGAAACAAGGCTGGATGGACTTATACTTCAGAAATGACCCCAAATTTTATGCAGACCTTACCAGGTAAGGCTTTGGAGTCAGGCAAATCTTGGATCCAAATCTTGGTTTCATTGCTTATTAGCTACATGACTTAGGAAATATCAGTCTATCTCCAACCTCAGTTTCTTTCTCTGTGTTAATACCCATGGCATTGTTGCAAGAATTAAATGGCATAATATCTGTTAGCATTTGGCATCATACTGGCACATTAATACTAAATGTGTAGTAGCTATAAAATCATTAGGCAGCTGTTACAAATGGCCTTCACAAGGAAATGTAAGAAACTTCTGAGTCAGTTACATTTGGTCTTTGCAATAAAACACACCTAAAAAAATCTATAGACAAAACAGTATAAACCAGACTCTTAGAGATGGGCAGATCTATCTAAATCTGTGTTCTCTGTCTCTGTCTCTGCTTCTCTCTCTCTCCTCTATACAAGAAAGAAAGCAGACATACTTTGGAGAAATTCATTTATTATCTTTGGGAGACTGAGCTAAGTGCAACTGAGAAGCTAGTATTTTGACATTTATCTGTTTTCCTGATGTTTTATAGGCTCCATATAAAACCAGTCTAATGACCAAGCTTGAACAATTTGCTGGTAGAGAATGCAGGTTTCTGTTGGCCTTGGGTATATGGCTTTAATTTCATTTCTGGAATAAAGGAAGTACAAAGACATTAACTCTGAGACCATCAAAGAAAGAATTCTGTAATTGCAGTCTGGCAGCAAATGGGCTTCGGCTGTGTGCACTGGGAAAGCCAATGATAATTAATCCTGCACATTTATCTGAGCCCAAGAGCAGACACACAATAATGACAACTGTATTAGGCAAGAGAATTGTATTTGATCACTGGAGATTGGGCCTTCTGTGATACACACCCATTGCAGCATAAACCACATCACAGCCAAGAAATCAAGACCTTTGTGCCCACAATGGCAATAGCCTGCCACATGTGGTTACTGAGTATTTGAAATGTGCCTTGTCTAAAATGAGACATGAGAAGTATAAAATATATATTGCATTTCCTTTCTCTCCTTTTCTTTTCCTTTCTTTTCTTTTCTTTTCTTTCTTTCGTGTAGTGCTAGAGACTCAGAATAAGCACTCTACCACTGAGCTATACCCCAGTCTCACACACTGCATTTTGAAGACAGTATATATAAAAGGATGTAAAATATCTCATTTTAATATTGAGCACATGTTAAAGTAATGATATTTTAGATATGTTGGGCTTCATAAAATATATCATTAAAATTAATCTCACCTGTTTCTTTGTACTTCTTTAATATGTCTGCCAGAAAATTGAAAAGGTCATATATGGCTTTCACTAGAATTCTCTATAGTCAGGGGCCAACAGGTGAGGCAGACATTTAAGTCTGCTCCTCAGAGTATAGTGAGTCCTCCTTTTTGGGTGACTGTCTTTGTCCTGATCACAGGGTTGAGTCTCCTCTTGGTTACCATGGCGTAGGTTTTTGACCTGGGAATGGACAGTGGCTCAAGCCTGTCAATCAAATGCTTCCCTGGACACTTGCACTAGGAACTGGGGCTGGAGGCTACAGCATGCAAACTGGAGAGCTCTAGGTGGCTGTGGTTTTCTACTCCATGGCTCACAAAGGCAGACAGAGCTGATCTGCCAAGAAGGATAAGAATACAGCACATGTGCAGGTGTAGAGATGGAAGACGGGGAGCCTTGCTGGTGTTTGTCTCCCTGGTTGCAATATGTCTTTGGCCCAGGTGGAGTCCCGTCCTTGGATTTTGTGACATACTCTGGGTCCTTATCATATATGTCAACTTTTTTTCACTCAATCTAACTCAAAAGGGGTGCTATCTCCCGGAAGAGTCTGAGTAATCTGAACTTCAAATCCTCTGGTATTTGTCATCTCAAATCTAAATATGAGAAGATTTTCTATGATCACGAAGCCTAAGCTTCAAGTCCACTCACTTGCAACGGCCTTTTCAACACCCCCCACCCCTCTGCAGTACTGGGGATTGAACTCAGGGCTTTCACACTGAGCTCTGCAGCCAGCCCTTTATTAATTTTTTGAGACAGGGTTTCACTAAGTCTCTTAAATTGCCAGGGTCCAGCTTATGATCCTCCTGCTTCAGCCTCCCAGGAGTGCTAGGATACAAGTGTGCACCATCAAGCCCCACCTGTATTCTTTTTCTTAAAGAAGGTCTCCCAAACTACATATGGTCTAGGCCAGTGATGGTGAACCTTTTAGAGCTTTCAATAGCAACTAGCCTGCTGTGGCACAAAGCACCACTGGCCATACAAACTGTGGACTTTCCCTGCATATGTATTCCTTTCTGTAGCTGTAAATGGAAATCTTCATGACTTTAGAGGGACTGTTCCTCTGTCATACCAAATGTGTTGTTACAGTCTCTGACAAGCCTCACTCTGCCTGCAATGATCTTTTTTTTTTTCATTTTTCTTTCTTTCTCTCTCTTTCTTTTTATTTAATATGGGCTCTTGCTATGTTGCCCAGGCTACCCTGGAACTCTTGAGCTCAGTGATCCTCCCACCTCTGCCTCCTGAGTAGCTGGCACCACAGGTGTGCACCACCCTACTCAGTAAAGACCCTTCCTATGAACATCAAGGCTCACCTTCAGTGTGTCACACAGAATCAGACACATTTTAAAGGTGGTAAGGCTGATTTTATTCAGTAGTGCAGCAAGGCAGAGAGACTTCAATGTAAACTGAGCTGGGCTCATCAAACAAAAGGTCTATTTAATTTTTTCTTTCTGATACTGGGGTTGAACCCATAATTTTCTACCACTGAGCCACTTCCCCAGTTCTTTTCTTATTTTGAGACAAGGTCTCACTAATTTGCCCAGGGTGACCTTGAACTTGCCATCCTCCTGCCTCAGCCTTCTGAGTGGCTAGAATTAGAGGAGTGCGTCACCACACCAAGAGCGAAAGGCCTTTTGTTGCTTCTCTAGGTGCTGGGAAATGCAACGGGCAAGCTTATAGAGGATGCACAAACTTCTCATACCTTTGGGATAGGAGGTATAGGAGGTAATTTTTTTTTTTGGTACTGGGGATGGAACTTGGGTCCTTGCGCTTATGAGGCAGGCAGCAGAACCATTGAGCTAAATCCCCGGCCCAATAGGAGGTAATTTTGCAGATTGAAGCAAGGCAACCACCAAAGATAGGTTCCTCCCCTCCCTCGGAAGAATGGCCAGGCCAGCCAGGACTCTAGGAATTTCCTGTGCCTAGGGCAGCTGGAAACAGGGAAAAGTCTGAGGGTTGTGTGGAATTTTAGACAACTGAATAGAGGGAGAAAGCATATTACTTTGCAGAGGAGGAACCAAGGTTAACAAGTGGCAAAGTGTTTTCCTCCAAGTGTAGCTCTAAAAAAAGATGCAGGGAAGAAAAACAAAGACAGAGAACTGCAATTCAAACTTGGGGCTGTCCAATTCCAAAGTCCATATTCCTAAGGATTGGGCTTTGGCTGTAGTTAGATGGTAATTTACTGGGATCAAATGTGTCATCATTTCCTGGTAGCTTTTTACATAGTAACATCTGCCATTGACTGAGCATTTACTGTGTGTGATTTTCTTTATATACCTCATCTTAAAAATGGCTTTATGTTTTTTAACTCATCCCAAATCATTGTGTAAACTAAACAAAACAAACCCGAGCCATATGGAAATGAACTAAGAAAAAAAATTTAAATCTCCAGAAATCTCACCCCCAGAGAAAATCAAGGCTAACATTTTGATAAACAGTTTTCTAAACATGTGTTTGCAGATAAACACATGAATACATGTTTAAATATATAAGTGGGAGCATACCACATAGGTTTTTGATAGTCATAAATTGTCCTAGCTAGTCATCCCAACAACCCTAAGGGATAGGCAGCGTCTTCTTCCTTTGGGGCTGAGAATGTTAGCTGATAAGCCCAGGACGCACAGCTAACGGGTCAAATGGGGCTAGTTTCACTTTACCTGATCCAAATACCCCAATTCCCTGGCAGAATAGAATTTGACAAAGTAAAAGTCTCTTTCCTTGTGAAATCTTTAAAAATCTATTCAGATGGGCCTGCTGTCAAGGCACCTTGGAGACAGGAAGATGTGCGGGCCCAGTGGGCTCCACAGTTGTGGTGACTGCACCCTTTATGAATAAAATGAAACATTTTGGGGCTGGGGATTTAGCTCAGTGGTTCCGCTGCCTGCCTCGCAAGCTCAAGGTCCTGAGTTTGATCCCTGGTACCAATAAAATAAAAATAAAATAAAGCATTTTCCAGAGCTGAAAGTCTTCTGGGAAGCAGTCTGAGGTCCCCATGTAAAGTAATGCTGCTTTGATGTCACCCAGGGAGTTGCCACTTGTCACCACATGCCACGTGACCGAGTCCTCCGGGATTGTCAGTGTTTATCCTTCCCGATCACTGCAAGAACTGTTCATCCTGGTCCATTGAAAACGACTTTATTGATATCACTCCTGCCCCACCCCAGCTTTGCTTTTGCTTTTCTTGAGGTTGTGCTTGCCAAGTGTTGTGGACTAAGCTGAATAATCTTAGGAGCTGCAGGATTTTGAGTGAATGAATGAAATACGGCTTTTTCTTCCTTTATTGACGAGGAGCATTTTAAGTGGGTCAGGGAGGCCACTGGTCTTTAGAAAGAAGAGAGAGAAGAAATTTTGATTCTGGTACTGGTGTGTTTGTTTGTGCCATACTAAAGGTTTCGCATTGAGCTACATTCCCAGCCTTTTTTTTTTTTTCTCTTAAGATGGAAGTCTCACTAAGTTGTCCAGGCTGACCTCAAATTATTTATTTATTTATTTATTTGGTACTGGGGCTCAAACTCAGGACCTTGTGCTTGCAAGGCAGACAGTGGAACCACTGAGCAAAATACCCAGCCCCTTACCTCAAATATTTGATCCTCCTGCCTTACCTTCCCAAGCTGCTTAGATTACAGATGTACAAAACCGCACCCTGCCCAGCCAAGATGTTGTACGATTAATAGGACACTGATTAGCCAGCTGAGGTAATGGGCACCTGTAATTCCAGCACTCTGGGAGGCTGAAGCAGGAGGATCACAAGCTCAAGGCCAGCCTGATCTACCTAGCGGGGGGGGCGGGGGGCGGGCACTGATTAAATAAAATATGACACATACATGTGTTGGAAAAAATCACATGAATGAATTAAGTGGGTAGATAGGGAATGTCAGAGCACATTATCTTAAGAAAAAAAGGCAAGCAGAATGTATTGTTGAGCATGGTATTTTCCTTTTCCTCTTAAAAAAGAATATATATGGTTTATGAAAGGACAAAATCACAACATAATTTATTTTATTTTTTATGGTACTGGGGTTTGAAACCAGGGCTTTCACACTGAGCTACATTCCCAGACCTTTTTAAAATTTTTTTGTTTTGAGACAGGGTCTCACTAAGTTGCCCACGCTAGGTTCAAATTTGTGATCCTCCTGGCTCAGCCATTTGAAGTGTTGGGATTACAGGCATGTGCCATCACGCCTGGATAAAAAACTATTAATAATTAATAGTTGTTACCATTAGGAAGGGAGGGAATGGAAGCTTTCGGTTGTCATTTTAAACTTTCATGTTAAAATTTTTAGCCATATTCATTATTGCTAATGTGATGTCATAATTACTATCTATCACCAACAGGAATAATTGAGCGGTGAGAATGTGGGCCATTAAATGTTTTTCTCTCTGTACTTCTCCATTCCTTAAAAAAAAAAAAGTTAAGTGTTTTCTTTAAATTTCATCTTAATTTTTGTTTTTGGTGCTGGGGATTAAATGCAGGGCCTCATGTATGCTAAGCATGCTACCACTGAGCTAAACCTTCAGACTTAAAGATTTATTTTCTCTTATTTCATTTCATTTATTCATTTTTGGTACTGGGATTGAAATCAGAGACTTTGCACTGAGCTACATCCCCAGATCATTTTTATTTGTTTGTTTTTTATTGAGACAGCGTCCCACAAAGTCTCTAAATTTCCCAGGCTGGACTTGAACTTGTGATTCTCCTGCCTCAGCCTCCCAGAGGCATGTGCCACCACATCTGGCTATAAATTTTATTTTTAAAAGGTGTTTTAGAGGACCCAGGGGTGTAGTTCAGTGGCACAGCGCCTGCCTGGCAAGTGCAAGGCACTGAGTTTAATTCCTGGTGCCAAGAAAAAGATGTTTTAGGGCTGGGGATTTATCTCAGTGGTTCTGCCACCTGCCTCGAAAGCGCAAGGTCCAGAGTTTGATCCCCGGTACCAAAAAAAAAAAAAGATGTTTTAGAAAGATTTTCTTTCTCCTTGGAACAATAAGGGGCCCTCACATCTTATAGAATTTTGGTGTTAGGAGAAACTCACAAACCAGCACTGTAAGTACAGTGAGCACACCAACTGTTAGAGAGGATCTGAGCAATATTAAACAATCCAGTTTGGGGGGGAAGCTTTTCTTTTGCCACTCTTGTAGTAAAGCAAGCAGGTCTGCCAGCAGTGCAGGAACTTAATAGTGTTGGGTGCTTGGAGCTCTGCGGTGCGAAGACCCTGGGGCCATCATGGGCTAAGATGTGATCCATGAGCCCTGTCTGGCCTGGCTGTGATGGCAGCAGCCCTCACCTGGAGAGCAAGCGGAGTGTGGTGAGTGTCGCCCAGGGACAAGTTCTCCTGGGTCAGTGACGGGCTCCCCACCCAGTATGCCACCACATCACGCTGTGCTCCCCAGTGTTCCAATACCCCAGAGGGGAAGCGGAGTCTGATGGAAACAGGAGAGAATACAAAGCCTAACAGTGCGTGAAATTAGCAGTGAGCACTAGAAAATGGAAGCCACTGTTCTGTCTGTTCTGGTGTAGGAGGGAAAGCACAAGCATTTCATCAGAATAGAAGTTAAAAACAGAGCAAAGCTGAGTACCAAGCCTGCCATTACCCTCTGAAGTGGAGGCCCTACTGCATACTGGCAGGGTGCTCCTGTGGCTAAGAAGACAGAGCTGGGTACTGTGTCAGACCAGCCTTGAGCAGCCGTGTAGCCCTTAGTATCTCATGGTGCTGTGCGGTGTCAGGGAAGATGGTGACATCTGAACTGATTACTGAATGGGACCAGAGAGCCGGCTTGGGCAGATGCAAATATGTCACCTGCAGTAAAGGTGCATCTGTTGGAACACTGTGGGATTTTCCAGGAACTTGGAGAAAGATTTGTCATCTCTGGTCTGACATCCACCAAGTCTTAACTAACGAGGATGAAGAGGCCTTTTCTCAATGAAGGGATCCTTTTTGTTTATTTTTGTTTTTTGAGACAGGTTCTCTCTATGTGGTTCAGGCTGGCCTTGAACTCAATATGTAGCCCAAGCTGGCCTTGAAGTCACAGTGATCTTCCTACCTCAGCCTCCTGAGTGCTGGGATTATAGGTGTGCACCACCATGCCAGGCTCATGAAGAGCTCTTTGAATCTGCTTCCACTTGGTCTTCAATGAGTTTGACAGTGCAAGGCTGTGTAGTGCCTAAAAGAGCTTCTTGCACCAAGCCCTGTGTCTGCTATCTGCATGAGCTGTCAGGCCTAATGCCCCAAACAGCAGCATTGACCTTGCCTCCTTAGTCTGTTGTCTCCCTGAGCTGCATCAGACAGTACTGAGTAGTCACTTTTGGAACATGGACAAATCATTTGATTCCGTATTAAAATGGTAGGGGTTTTCTTGGTGTTTTTTTGTTTGCTTGTTGGCTTTGAACTTGTGATTGGTTCAGGATTACTCCGGGCTAGCCTTGAGCTCAGAATCCTCTTACCTCAGCCTCCTGAGTGCTAGGATTACAGGTGTCAGGCATGCACCACTATTTTATTGTCTTTGTTGTTGCTGTTGTTGTTGTTTCTCAATACCAACTCTACATTCCCAGCCACCACCACCCCTTTTTTGTTAAATTTTGAGAAACAGTCTCACTAAATCACTAAGTTGCCTGGGCTGGGCTCAAGCTTGCCCCAGCCTCCTAGAGTGCTGGAATTACACCATACATTTGGTTTTACATTGTTGATGCTATATTCCTGCCTTCCCAGTAACAATTAATATACTTTTCCAACTATGCCTACCTCAGATAAATTGTAAGGTTTTTGGTTTTTGGTTTTTTGAGATGGGGATCATGCTGTGTTGCCCAGGATGGTTTCGAACTCCTGAGCTCAAGCATCTTCTGGCCCAGTCTCCCAAGTACTGGGACGATAGAAGCTCACCCCTGTACGGGATGGAATCTGCCTATGTTGTGCCTCAGAATTGGGTGGGGCTACGGGCTGGGGGGAAGCAAACCATAGAGTGGGAGCAGCAAGGGCTAGAAAATCCCTCATTCTCATTTAACAAGGACACTATATTAATGGTGCACCTGCTGCCCTATCACAGACAAGATGTAATCTTTGTTCTCTAGAACTTAGGGTTTAATGGGGAAGTCAGGTCCATTAAAAACTGTGTCTATCATATGTTTTGCTTCTTTGATTCCACAGAACCTTATCTGTGGCAATTCGGTTAACAGCATGATTCATAAGAAAAACCTACTTGATGTTTATGCCAGTTTCAAATGGAAACCCAAATACATGAACAATTGATGGAGTTCCTTCAGCATCACTTTCATTGCTGGAGCTCAGAAAGTGGCACCCCAAATGTGGCATTCTGTGATGTGGAGCTGGGGAAACAGTTGCAGAATGAAGGTCTCTCTGACATCATCCCCAACACCTTTCAATCATCTTTGATTCTCTCTTTCTCCTGAAGTGTAGAAAAGGGCTTTCTCTGAAGTTCCCTTATCTACCCAAAGATCGGCTCTGTCAAAGAACACAATGACCTTCAAGTCTTCTTACTGAAATTTTCTTAATCAAGGAAGAGATTGAAAATCAAATACCACACCATAGCCCAGAGGAACTTTGTCCCAGCCCATTGCTTTTTTCTAAGCTCATTCATTTCTCCTAAAAATCATTTCCTACCTCTTTAAAATTGCTTCTACTTCTCCATCACCACTTGCCCCTCTCTCTCCTTTCCCCTATAAAGGGAGAATTTAAGATGCAGACATCTGAGTCGGGTACAGTGGCACAAACCTGTAATCTCAGCTACCCAGAATGCTGAAGCAAGAAGATCAAAGTTCTAGGCCATCCTAGACAACTTAATGAGATCCTGTCTCAAAATAAAATTTAAAAAGGGATGGGATGTAGCTCAGTTATGGCTCCTTTTGGGGGTGATGAGAATGTTTTGGAATGAGATAGAGGTGATGGTTGCATGACATAATGTAGTAAATCCCACTGAACTATATTCCTTCAAATGGTTAATTTCATGTTATATAAATCCTACCTCAATAAAAAAAAGAAATTAAGTGCAAATATATGCTATACTTTGAAAATATGCTCAGGAAGAATTCAAATAACCAAAGGCCACATATTGTATGATTCCATTTACATGAAATCCCAGCAGTTAGGAGGCTGAAGCAGGAAAATCGTGAGCTCCAGACCAGAATTCACATAGTGAATTCAAGGCCAGCCTGGATTACAAAGGGAGGACCTGTCTCAAGTCAGTCTTCCCTTCTAGTGATACAAAGGAAATCTCGTTGGCTTACGGGCATTTGATTATTATCTTGCTCCTGATTTCTTGGAAATTAGATCTTACAAGTAAACAATTTAGGTTTGGTTTGGTGATGTGGAACATTAGCACAAATGATTCTACTTTTGACCTGCTTCTTTGTTATAACTGCTCTGACATTTATTGTAGCAAATGCTCCACAATGTTAATATATTGAAAGCCATTGAACTGAATGTTTTAAATAAGTGAAACATATGGTATGGGAATTAAGTACCAATAAAGTTATTATAATAAAAGGGTTATGTAGATAGAGGTATAGATGGTGTACTCTTGTAATACCAGCAACTCAGGAGGCTGAGGCAGGAAGATCACAAGTTCAAGGTCAGCTTGGGCAATTTAGCAAGATGTTTTCTCAAAATAAAAATCAAAAAGGGCTGGGGATATAAGCCAGTGTTAGAGTGCCTGCACAAAACCCTGGGTTTGATTCCCAGGTCCAAGAAAAAAAAAGGAGTTGTGGGTGGCGGCGGCGATGTGAGAACTTAGAAAGCTTTTTAAAAACTGAAACTGGGCTGGGAATGTAGCTCAGTGGTAGAGTGCTTGCCTAATATGTGTGAGGCATGGGTTTGATCTGTGACACCACACACACACACAAACACACACACACAATATGTGTATATGCATTTAAAGATGTCAGGTGGTAAAAAACTTTAAATATTAAAGTTTGTTTTTGTTTTTGTGTTTATTTTAAGATAGGGTCTTGCTGTGTAGCCCAAGGTGGCCTTGGACTCTCAATCCTTCTGCCTCACCTCACAGTGCTAAGATTACAGGTTTCTACCACTACGTGTAGTTTTTTTGAAAGTACTGGGAGTTGAATCCACGTAGCACACTGCTATACCATCAGCCCTTATTAATTTTATTTTGAGACAGGGTCTCGCTAAATTGCCCAGGTTAATCTTGAACTTTTGATCCTCCTGTCTCAGTCACCCAAGTAGCTGGGATCAACACTGTGTACCACAATCCCCAGCAAAGGTGTTTATATTTTAATAGTGGAATTTCAGGTCAGTTCTATTTTCTTTCTCATTATAAGCAGCTGTTTTCTAAATTTTCTACAATAAATTTTAATGACTGTAGAACCACTGGTATCTCTCACGGAGATTTATCCAGATGAGGAAAAGATGCTCCTTTTGCCTGGGGCTGCAGCACTACATAGGGGGAAAGTTTTGGACATTGGGATGCAGGCTGGAACTGGCCCATTTAGGTGGGGAGCTTTGCACCTGAACAACATGCACAGCTGCTCGTGATGGTACTAAAACTTGAGAGATAAGTATTTAAAATAAAAGAATAAAAAATAGCCAGGTGTGGTGGCACATACCCATAATCCCAGCACTCAGGAGGCTGAGGCAGGAAGATTGCTGTGAGTTCAAGGGCACCCTTGGGCTACATAGTGACTTCAAAACCAGCCTGAACTATATAGTGAAACCCTGTCTCAAAAAACCAGCCAACCACCCAACCAAACACAATAAAAATGAAAGTTAAAACAACGGCAGAGGAAAAATAATGTGAAAGCTTTTCAAAGCATGTGACCTTTTAAAGCATCCACTCTGGGTGGACTACTGTTCCTCAACTCTGACAGCCCACCAAGTGCATTCTTCCTCCCGACTCTTGCCCAAATGTGATCAATCCAGCTAAAATTGCTCTCCCCACTGGCTTCTTTCTCAGCCACTTCAGCACATGTGGCCATTTCTTCCTTTCTTGAACTTCTGTTGAACTTGGTCAAAAACATTTGAATGGAAATGGAGGTGGCTGGGTTGATTGTATTTTACCTGTCAACTCCATATTAAATGGCAGTGACTACTAGGGGCAAGGTACTGAGGAGGATTCTGGGCTGCATGTGACCTCAGTGGGAGTACTGTGATCAATTACTGATGTCTGTCATGGGCGTGGGAAACAGGAAACATTTGCACTTTCTCTGCCTGCCTTGAGCACTAATATTTCCTGTATCCACCCTCAGTTTAGTGTGATGATAAACACAGAGAGCCCAGGCAGCATGTCTATCACATATTGATCTTCTTTTTTATTTGTTGGTTTGTTTGCTTGTTTTTACCCACTGCACGAGAAGCATGGACCTTGTTCTGTTTAATGATCTATGTTATTGCTTTTACATTTCCACACAAACTAATAATAATACTGTACAAAAATTATAAAAAGAAGCTGGGCACAGTGGCACCCAGCTGTAATCCCAGTTACTTGGGAGGTGAGGTTACAGCCAGCCAGCCTGAGCAATTTAGCGAGAACTTGGCTCAAAATAAAAAGGGCTGGGATACAGTTTAGTGGTAGACTGTATGGCTAGCATGCAATAGGCCATGGGTTCACTCGCTAGAACCTCAAAAAATAAAAATTAAAATAATGAAAATTGAAAGAGTGGGCTGGGGATTTAGCTCAGTGGTTCCACCACCTGCCTTGTAAGTGCAAGGTCCGAAGTTCGATCCCCGGTACCAAAAAAAAAAAAAAAGAGCATGATGGCCTTTTGAAAATAGTGCTTTTTCAAGATCAAGATGGTTCCTAGAAAATGGAAGATATCCCCAAATGACCTCTCGTGCACGGGGGAGGGAAGGGAAGGATGGCAGAGTGGATGCAATGGAAACAGGCACATTTTTACTTTCTGTAGTTAAAACAAAACCTGTTTACCTTCAAAGTATCCTCACTGTATATGGGCAGAAAATGTAGTTTTTTAAACACAGGAAGCTGTGGAGTAAGAATTGAATACCTATTTATCAGATGAGTGAATGCATGAATAAAATAAAAGAACTGAAAACATCCCTAACAGAACAGGTTTCTATGGATCTCAAGCATCATGTGGCCTGGGCAGGGAGCCAGCAAATAAGTCTTTGTGTTAAGACTGACTCTGGACTAAGACGCCAACACCATCCAACAGGAGCTCCTCATGATGGAACACAGTTCTTTCCATCTCCCCAGTTCAGCTGGTTTGCAGGAAACTCAGTTTTAGCTGGCATGAACCCAGCCTCAGGCCTATTTTCTGCAGTGGTTCTAATCTCATCTTGCATGCAAGGAGTCACCCACAGAAATTGTGGGCCAGGAAAACTCCCCGGGTTTTATGGCTGGAAAGTCTGTGTCACCAGAAGCAGCACCAGTGACGTCTCCCTTCTCATTGCGATTTTGAAGAGGCAGGAAAAGGGTGCAAGGGCACATGAGAGTCCCTGGTATTTGCAGTTTGCAAAGTGTTTATACATACATTGTCTCGTTTAGATATCTTCAGGAGGTGAAAGAAGGCCAGAGAACCCCCCCCCCCCATCCTGCTGTGAAGTCATCCGCTTTAGAGAAAGTAATGTGTGTTCATGTGTTATAAGAAAAGTCTAGGGCCGGGGATTTAGCTCAGTGGTTCCACTGCCAGCCTCGAAAGCAGAAGGACCCCAGTTAGATCCCTGGTACCAAAAAAAAAAAAGAAAAGTCTTTCCTGTCTGGCAAGAGACACCTCCTTTCAGCAAGAAGGAAAGTAGGTTCCCAAGCAAGGGTGGGCTCTCTGGATGGGGAAGGAAGGGCCACACACACCCCTGCTGGTTGATGAGGGAGATGTTTTAGAAGGGAGAAGGGAGCAATGTTTTTAGCTTGTAAGCCTCTTCTGGGAGAGCTGGGGATAGATCTACTTTTAGATGTGTTCTCTGACACCTTTGAAGAACTGTAGGGGTAACCAAGCACCTGGCGGGTATTCTGAGGGGAAAGTTAAGGGCCAGCAAGCTTCTCCCTGTTCTAAGTTCCATTTGACTTCAGCAATCTGATACAAAAAGCATGTTGTCTTTTTTTGTTTTTTTAAATCATAGTTTATGGCCCAGGGATTTAACTCAGTGGTTCCGCCGCCTGCCGTGCAAACACAAGGTCCCAAGTTCAATCCCCAGTACCAAAAAAAAAATCATTTTAATTGTACTAGCACATCGGAGTGTGACACAAATCCTAAAATCATGGAAGGCTGGGCCACAGCTTCACAGAGAGCATGTGGCCATAGTGATATGTATTCACCCAAAGTCAGTTCCTGTCGGTGTGATCATGGTCATGTGGCTTAACCTCTCTGGGCTCAGTTTCCTCATCTGTAAAATGAAATCTCAAACTAAATGATTTCTAAAATTCT